AGAGTGGGAAAGGGGAAGTGTAGAAAAGAAATGTCTGGGACTCTTCAAGATTTGATAATATGATAGACTGCAGATTAAATATCCATAATGAGATACCACTTCACATCAGAGAGAGTGTTCATCATAAACAAACCAGTAAGTCCTGGAGAGGGTGTGGAGGAAGGGGAACCCTAGTGCACTGTAGGGGGGAATGCAGACTGGTGCACCGCTGTGGAAAACAGTCTGGAACTTCCTTAGAAAACCAAAAATGGACCTGCCTTTGACCTGTCAATCTGCTGTTGGGATTATTCCCTCAGGATCCTGAAACACCAGTTCCAAAGAACCCATGCACCCCAACGTTCATAGCAGCACAATTTACACTAGCCAAGTGCTGGAACCAATGTAAGTGCCCATCAGTAAATGAATGGATCAAAAAACTGCGGTACATTTACACAATGGAATACTACGCAGCAGAAAGAAAGAAGGAGCTCCTACCCTTCTCGACAGCATGGATGGAACTAGACAGCATTATGCTGAGTGGAATAAGCCAGGTGGTAAAAGAGAAATACCATATGATCTCACCTCTAAGTGGAACCTAATCAACAAAACAAACGAGCAAGCAAAATACCACCAGAGACTTTGAAATAAAGAACAAACTGACAGTTACCAGAGAGGAGCGGGGAGAGGGGTAATGGGGGATAATAGGGGAAGGGCCATCAAGGGCCCACGTATAAAGGACACATGGACAAAGGGGGCAGGTTCGAGGCTGGGAGACAGGGGTGGATGGTGCAGGAGGGAGTGGTGCGGTGAAAATGGAGAAAACTGTACTTGAACAACAATAAAAAATAAATAAGTAAATATCCACTGAGTAAGGTATATTAAAAATACACGTGCACATACGTTATAATTTCAATTAACAAGATCAAAACTCTTGCTCTAATTGATAAACCTGGAAATCTTTGAAGTCTCTACCACAATTCAATAAACCAGTAACTAAAAAGTCCCCGCATGTTAGGATATTAACAAATAAACATTTAAATAACACACAGGAAAAGAAATCAATTTGAAAATATTTTAACCTTAATGATTTTGGAATACTACTTATTAAAACGTGTGTAGTGCAGTTAAAGCAGTATCGTGGTGGAAATGTTTTAGCCTTAAATGCTTTTCAGCTATTCAAGGTCGCTGTATTAAAGTCAAAATGCAACACTGTTTTCTGTATGGTATAGCAAAACTGTGTTTTGCTATATCTATAATAGTTAGACTATTAAATTTTACAAAAGTGTGCCAGTTACAGTGGCACTAAAAATATTTAATACTGGGAAATTCAAGAAACAGAAAACACCAAAACACCATGAGAAATTAAGGCCCTAAAAAGAGACCCGTATATGAAAACAAATAACTCAGATGTAAGTGGTAGACGTTTGCAGATGTAATACCACAAAACGGTGTGAGTGAAAGAATGGAATACTCAATAAATAATGTTCTATACGTGGTTTTTCCTAAATGAGAGGCAGCAGGTCGAAACTTATCCACACTTGCTTAATCTCAGAGATAGATGCACCTCTTCTTGTTTGTCTGAAGTGTTTCCTAATTCAACTTTTCACATTTAAAAATGAAATCTGTTGAGAGAGCGTCCTCCCTAAATGCAGCTGTTCTTCAGCTCCTGATATGTGCTTGCCAAGTTTCTGCCCTGTCTGGAATTTTAGGGCAAAAAAGAGGAAGGATAAATCACGTTATCTCCCGATAATGTGACCCTCACCTTCCCCAGGTATCAGAGGAGGCTGCTCTCTAGCTACACTCCTAGACCTACTGTGTGTGGCAAGAGCAGGGTGCCTCTGGGTTTCACGTGGGTGAGCAGCTGGGTCAGGAAACAGCTGTAAACCTGGGGAAGCTGCCAACAGCAGGCCTGGGGCTGGATGCCTGCAGAAAGGGACGTTACTTGGGGAGCCTCAGAACACATTATGGGGGTGGACAGATCTGCCCCATCTGCGCTGGGAATGTGGGGTCAACACCACCCCTCTCTTCCCCCTTTTGAGAAATGCCGAAATGAAATCGCAGCAACCTAGAACAAAATATGTCCTTAACTAGTGGAGCACAAAGATGGTAAACATCCTGGTCCAAAGGCTAAGTTTAGCTCTCACTTGGGAAGTCTGGCCCTGTACTCTTTAGGCCTTTACAAAAAAGCGGAGTTTTGTCAAGTTTTGACTTATTTGCTAACATCTAGAAATTGAGAGATTTCTGATGGAAACTGGACTCCTAGCTTCTCTCCTGAAAAGCAGGGATTCTGGCATTCCTGAGCCTGAAGTCCAGAATGCTAAGAATCGGTCAGTCCTGAAGACTGTGCCCCCCTCCCCCAATGGCCCCACTCATTACCTCACCTGCTGGCCCCACCAGGGGCTTCAACTCCCTCATTTCACAGATGAGTAAACTGAGGCTCAGAGAGGTCAAATGCCTTGGCTAATGTCAGTGACCTTGTGGTAGATGCCACACTAGCACCAAGTTGGCCAGTTACCAGCTAACTTGTGACTCCTTTTTTTCTGTATGATGAAGGCACATTTCATGGTCTCTAATGACATGGTCTGTGTATTTGAGTAGGTGCACTGGAAATGATCATTCTTATATATTTAATGAGGCCCACTTAAGTGATGATAAAAATAATATAAATGGGTTAATTATAATATAAGTAAAAAGTCACCAAGGCTTAGCCAAACCCAAACCAGAAAGTTTTACATGTGACACACCATAAGAGAATATGACGATGTAACTGACGATTGCTAGTAGCTGGAGGTTGCCTGATCCCAGAGCACCACTGTTTCTGGCCGATCTTCATACACATGTGAGTCCTCCTGACTTTCTCCCGCCCTCCTTAATTTCCCCTATTTTTTCTGAGTCTAGAAAGATGACAAAACTCTGCTCTGGAACTCTTTCCTGGGTCTTCCCACCACAGATGCCTCTGTTAGGACTTTTGCTTGTTGAATTTATTAGACTAAGGCTGGTAGACAATCTGCACTGACTTGGTTGAGTTTTGCCCATTATCCCCAGAAGTACTGAGTTACCTGGGGTGCGCAGTCCTACTCTGTGCAAAGTGAGTTGCTTAGAACCAGCTCCGTGAAGAGATTCCATGGATTACACAACCCTGTAGGATGTAAAACACTAAATAACCTAGATGTAGGTCAGTAGGAGAAAGGCCCGATGACTTTGGTATATTTATTTTATGGAAAACCATGCAAGGGGGGAAAAACAGGAAAAAGACAAATCTGTCTTAAATACTGATATGGACAGACTTGTAGATTACAAAACAATTTTCATATGTAATATATAATATATATACATATAAAATTACTTATGTGGCTTATGTTGAAATACTCAAAGAGATGGGGGAGGGAAGTATAAGGGGATTAAATGCACATTGTTTGTGGGTCCCCTTATTTGCATAAAGGCACAAGACACGTCTGGAAAGAAACAGGAAGTGGTGAGAGTGAACACCTTGTTCAGACAGCAGAGGGGGAGTGGTATGGAGGTGAGCAAGGGGCATTTTAGCTTTATCTGTAGTATTTGGATTTAAATTATTTTTTAATTATTTAATTTTATTTCGCAGTGACAGTTGACATTTAACATTATTGTTATTTTTAAATATTATATTTTTATTTTATTTTTAAAGAAGGGAAGGGAGGGAGAAAGAGAAGGGGAGAAACATCAATGCATGGTTCCCACTCACACGCCCCCTACTGGGGACCTGGCCTGCAACCCAGGCATATGCTCGGACTGGGAATTGAACCAGGGGCCCTTGGGTTCTCAGGCTGGTGCTCAATCTGCTGAGGCACACCAGCCAGGGCCACATTCAGTATTATTTTGTATCGGTTCCAGGTGTACAGTACATTGGTTAGACAGTCACATTCGTCACAAAGGGCTTCTCCTGGATGCTCTAGGTACCCACCCGCACCCTACTTAGTTATTACAATATTGTTGGCTACATTAATTTACGCAGAAGATACCTGAATGACGTGTGGCCAAGGGCTCTAAAGACTTTTCATGTATGCACGTGACTATTGATTTCCGATCATAGTCTGTCATGAAATTTGTAAAACATCTTTTTCATTCTTGGAAATGAAACGTTACTGTGTTGCCACCCCAAATTTATTATTCGCCAAGTTAAATTCTTAAACGTAAAAACCACAGGAAGAATCTGAAAGGTTAAATTCTATTTTCACAAGTTAAAGGGACGTACCTCACCTCTAGCAGCCGGAACAGTTTTGAGGACACCCAATTCATCTTTAATTGCACAGAATAGGAAATACGGGGATGGATTTAAATGGATCGGGGGTCTTTCAAACTCCTAATGAAAATGAAGGTGACAGATCGCCTAATTTATACTCGCAGGAAGTCTATTTCTAAGCTGTGATGGCACTGCTTTGCCCAGGGACAGGGAGGGACTGAACGCTGGAGGGACAAGTTTCGGTGAGGAAGCCGAGCCCTAGAGAGGGCAGCGAGTTCAGTGCCAAGTGGCCTCTAAGAAGTGGCAGGGCCAGGGCTCCCGCTCGAGCTTTTACTGCCGGCCCTGGTGCTCTCTGCCTGGGTGTTCTGGTTCACCAATGCGGGTGCCCTCCGAGTCTCCACAGCCGGTGTTGTCACGTGTTCACCCAGAGATTATCTATCCACCCCATCTTATCTTATCCTATCTATCTGTCTATCTATCTATCTATCTATCTATCTATCTATCTATCTATCTATCTATCTATCTATCTATCTATCATCTATCTATCTATCTTTGGAGATCTTTCCTTGCCATCCCTGACCCCTAGATGATGCTACAAGTCTCCTCTTTGCCTCTCCCTCCAGTCCGGCGCAGTCCACCTGTTCCCCGGGCATCCTCGCTTGCTCGCGTCCCCACGCTGCCGGCCTAGCGACCTGCGTGGAGCCTGCAGTCACCGCACCCACCCGGCAAGGTCTCCAGGGCCGCGCTGCAGCGGATGGGGTTGAACTCCGCCAGGGTGGGAGCGGCGCCGCTCCGCACTCACCTTGCCCAGGGTGGGCACGGCCGCCAGCAGCACCAGCAAAAGCTGCAGCAGGAGCCTCCGCGCCGTCTGGGGGCACATGGTGGGCGCCCGTTGAGAGTACACGCAGGCTCCCCAGCCACCGCGCGTCCCTTGCGTGGCCCGAGCTGCAGAGTCCGGCCGTGAAGCCCGGTTTACCAGCCGGACTGGGGCGGATTTTGTAGGGCTCAGCCCGGCTGTCTGTCCCTCCCCACCGACGCTTTTCGACTGTGGGTCCAAGGGAGGGAAGAAGTGGCTCAGGTCCCGCCCTCGTCCCACCTCCCCTTCAACTCACCAGGCAATGTCCCTCCGACCTGGGCGTTGTGCCCAGGAGGCGAGAAAGGGCTGCGAGCCTGCGAGGCAGGTGGGCGAGGATCCAGGGTTAGGGGTTAAGGAAGTGATGCTCCCAAGGTCTTGGAGCCGAGGCGGAGCAAGGGGGCTGCGGGTCGGAGGTGGAGAATTTTGGGGGTGTGCAATGGGGAGGCGGCAGGGCAAAGTGGAGGGAGTGGCCAGCGGCCGTGCCCAGATTAAGTGGGAGGCGCGCCGGGCCTCGGCACTCCAGGGCCCGCTGGCTCCGGCTCCCGGCGGTGCCATCTCGCTGCTTTCCCTTTCTACCACTCGCCTCGGACTCGCAGCCTCCGAACTGGGCCGAGCGGGCGTGGTGCAGAGGCGGCTGAGTGGCTCCTGGATTTGGGCGCGGCAGAGCTAGGTGGTGTGCGCCCCGGTGGCTGGAGATGAGGCGGCCCCTGGCGCTGCGGGCGGCCCCCGGAGGTAAGGCGCCTGGGTCACAGGCTGGGCAACCACTGCCCTTGAACCGGGGGCATCTGCCAGTGGGGGGCAGTGGAGAAAGCCTGGCATCTCAGGTAGGGCGTGCGGGGTGGCGGGGTGGCGGGGAGCTGGGGCTCAGGGTCACCAGAGGAGAACGTGTCTGGCTCCCGAGCTTGTCTGCCTGGGCTTGAACTGGGCGCTGTGTTTTGATTAATTTGGAGGCTCAGGTTACCACCATCCTGGCAGTCTGGGCACTGCGACATGCCAAGAGCAAAAGGCAGCTGAGGGGAAAGAGAATGCCCATCCTATTCTCTGCTGCGTTGAACTGGCTTTTCAGGCTGGATCTTATCTGCGGAAATGCAGGGGAAACCGAGAGCCAACTTTGTCCTGGGTGTCTCCCTCCTGAGAGTGCCCTTCGCGGAGGTGGTCCTGGATACAGACGTGCAGTTATCTGGCTTGTCAGGGCGCCCTCTTCCCTTCTTGCACCAGTTGACGGCATTGGCTCTGGGGATGCATGTAGACCCTTCTCAGAATAATGCTATTAAGTGCATACAATACAACTAAATCAGAACTACTTTTACCAGCATACCGTTGCTAAAGCGTTCAAGTCATGATGGAGCAACAGACGTGAGTCGTTAACCTTGCATGGGACGCCTCTAGGTCCAACCACAGCTCCATGAGAGCAACTTGAATCTCACAGCAGCTGCAAAACTGAAATGAGACAGGAAAGCGGCTGCAAACTCCCAGGCGCTGCCAATACTGTCGTAGTTTGTTGCCTGTATGCATAACCGAAGGCAGCGCTGAACTTCCAGGACAGTGAGTGAAGCCGGAGATGGACCTTTTGCTCCCATCCAAGTTCACAGACCACCTGAATGCATCTCGAGGCTGGGAACCCCTGCTTGGGGGCGGTGCTGCTGACCTCTGCAGCAGATGGTCGTGGGACACCAAATGTAACATATGTGGTGTGGTTCCTGACTGAGGAAAACTGCTTGCTTGCAGTTAGAATGGGGTCTATCCTATTAGCGTACTAGACCTGTGTCTGCAGGCAAAAGCCTGGCAGCAGATGAATGAAGATACACCCCAGCTTTTTTTTGCTGTAGAGTGAATATTACAGTCTTCCCTCTGTGTTTTTTATGCCCGTGATTGCGGTCGTTCATTAGAATCTCCCAGGGATCATCTAAAAATCCCGATACCTAGTTCATCCGAAGCCAATTGCACCAGACTGTCCAGCGGTCGGACTCAGGTATCAGTTTGTTTTAAAGCTTTCTGGAGAGTCCCATATACAACCAAGTGTGAGAGCCACTGTTTTATGAGCATATTTCAGTTAAGTTAGCTGCATGGAATCAGGGTCTCTTCTTAGGAGAATAATAAAATGGACTTTTATTACTAAATCTTTATTAAGATTTATTGTATTATTATAAACATAATATAATCAAATATTTTATAGTTATTAAGATTATATACCCATTAAAATATATTAAACTCTTTAATAGGACTATGCTTGCCCAAGCCACACATGTTGCTGGGTGTTACGCAGTAGCATCTTCCTATTGACAGGGATGCTCTTACGGAACCTTCTCCCGCCACCCTGGTTTGATAGGACATCAACTGCTGTGTTGATGAAGTAACAGTGCCCAAGAATTCTGAGGGGCTTATGAACATCTTGCGTGAAATGACATTACTCTCTCTGGGGAAAAACCCCTCAAAGTTAGTGTTAAATGCTCCTCCTTTTTGCTGAACTCCAGATTTCTCAGTTTGGACCTTTTCCCTGAAACCAAGTCCTTTTAATGGAAGACCAGTCTTGGTTTTATCACCTTTGGAATGGGAGGAGCAGTCTACTGCAGGTCACTTCTGATGCCACAGTAGCGCAGGATGTACATATAGTAAGGGGGAAGCACAGTTAAGAGCTTGGTCTCTGCAGTAAGCTCTGGGTTTTGAGTCCTTTCCATACTTCATAGTGTTGACCTAACCTCTCTGGACTGGGAGCTTCTCTTCTGCACAGTGGGCATAATCATGGTACCCATCTCAAGGAGATGTAGGAAAAGAATGTGGTGATGCAGTAGAAGCCCTTTGTTTAGGGTTGGCACAAAACAATCAGCAGTAGAATTTGGTCCTCCAGTTGCATGAAGGAAAACAAGGGGGATGAGAAATGGTGGCACAAGACAGAGATGCTCTTCTCAGCTCCACAGGAAAGGGGATTAAGCACACCTCCCTTGCTTCCTTGAAGACAATGAACTATTAAGGCATCGAGAACTTGCTTCTTGGCATTTCTGGGAGCAGCAGCTTGGCATCCTAGAGAGCTGGTTAGAAATGCAGACTCTTAGGCCCCACCCAAGACCCACTGACTCAGAGGCTACATTCACCAAGATCTCCAGATAACTCACCAGCACATTCAACTTTGAGAAGTGGCTTGTCTCAAAGCCAGACTTACCCACCCACTCCTCACCTTCCCACCTCACACCTACACCCTCCTTTAGTACAGTGTTTGGTATGCTCACGAGGTAGCATTATTGATTTTTAAAAAATCATCTCTGGGTCAAGAGGTTTGACTTTTTGTAGCTGATTCTTTAAATGTGATAAGCAAGGGAAGTGAGGTCAATTCATTTTGTACATTCGAAGGACACAGAGATCTCTCCTTTTCACTTTGGTTCCAAGTAAGGGTTTTGGAAAAAAAATGAAGTGGTCATTGCCTTTGAAACACCCTATATTATTATTTTTGCCCTGCCTCCACTTCTATCACCACACTCTGTTTTCTGCACAGTGCTGAAACATGCAGAGTTGGTTTCCCTGCATTTGAATGTAGGCCCCACAAAGGCAGGGCATTGTAGGTGTTCTGTCATTGAATGAATGAATGAGGTTCTTTACATTTGCTGAGTGAATGAAGTTGGGTGACTTGGCAAATTCACTGAGGATTCACACCCAGGTCTGTTTTCTTCCAAAGTTCACGATCTTTCTAGAGGCTTTATCATATAGGGGTATACTTCTGCTTTTGATGAGTTGCACTTTGCCGGGCTTCCTGTAGCTTCTTTAGTCTTTTTTAAAGGTTAAATTTAATCTTAATTAATTTTTAAATTAATCTTGTTTTACTTCATCTCCCCTCTTAGTCATTCCTCTTCTTTCAAGAACCTTTTCCTTTCAACACCTCTAGAACAGTTGACTCCCAGGTTCTTTTAGAACCTCAGTCAGCATCACTCATGTCAGTTCTTGCTATAGCATCTCTGGATTCCTTCTCTACATTTCTAAGCTCATGGCCCTGCCTTGTGCCTGCCCTGTGCATCTGTAGATTATAGCAACATCTGCTGCAAGTTCTCTATTGGGAAATCCACCTTCTACATTATTGTCTGAGTTCCCCTTAAAAATTGCACATTGTATCAGAAAGGTGAGGTTGCTTTTCGAGCAGTGACAAACGGTCCCCGAATTTCAGAGTCTTACAGTAACAGGACTTTTTTTCCTCCATTTTCATGACATACTCATTATAGGGTATAGGGAAGTGGGAAAGTGGGGTGGGGGGGGGGCTCTGCTTATTACGGCCTCTCAGGAACCTCCTGGAAATTCCCACTGCACTTTTTCTTCTCTGATCCCCTCAGAAGAGGAAGAGAATGTGGTGCATAAAACACCTCTCTAAGAGCTTCAACGCAGGTGTGATGCATAGTGCTGCCAGTCACATTTCATTGGCTGAAGCAGACATGTGACCATGCTTCATTTGTGTAAGTGGTAGGGAAATGGAATCTATCTATCACATGCCTGGAAAAAGAGCTGGAAATATTTGGTGACTGTTAGCAATGCCCATTACATACTTGCTTATTTTAAAGCTTGCAGAAGCTTTCCTTTGCCTTTACAGTACTTTGTACACATCATAGAATAGGGTGGTCCAAAATCAACTTCTAAAAGATTTCCTGTGTCGTCCCCTACTTCTCAGGTTCGCTCTCATCTTTGTACTTGCTGTTCCCTCCCCGTCAGTACCTCCCCCGTAGCCTGTCTGGTGCAGTTACTTGTGTTTTCAGATCTAGGTCAAAGATCAGCTCTGGCTGGTGTAGCTCAGTGAACTGAGCACCTGGCCTGCAAACCCAAAGGTCACTGGTTCATTTCCCAGTCAGGGCACATGCTTGGGTTGAGGACCAGGTCCTCAGTGTGTGAGAGGGAACCCATTGATATTTTTCTCCCTCTCTTTTTCCTGACCTTCCCTCTCTGTAAAATTAAGTAAATTTAATAATAATTAACTAAAAATAATTGAGTAAAATCTTTAAAACTTGTTTAAAAATTGGGAGCTCTTTTTATCTCTATGATGAATGAGAAAGGAAGGAAATAAATATTTATTAAGCTGCTCCCACAGGGCAAGCACTGTGCTAGGCAGTTCAATTACATGAGAATTAGACCCATGCAATTCTCTCAGGTATTCATTTTGCATACTGAGAAATGAAGAGCCCAGAGGATTTATGACCTTGCTCAAGGTTACACTGCTCAGTGATCAAGATCTTACCACAAGTCTTTCTAACTCTAGAGCCCTGCTTTCATCCCCAGCCATGAGAGCACAGCCCCAGGAGAGGAAGGCTGGCCGCCAGTCTCTGTGGAGGAAAGGGGAAGTCATCTAAGGCAAATAAATGCTAACCGCACATCGTGCTGGGGAATGCGCCTTGTCTGGTGGGGTCACAGGGTATTACTACCTGGGTTCACCCAAAGGCAGTTGCCAGAGGTAGGAAAGGTCCAGAGACTTCGATAGAGTCACTCTAGCCCTGCTCAGAGAGGAAAGTCACAGACTAAGAGACACCTGGGGCATTAGTGTTTTTAGCGAGAGACATGAGACATTCTGAGTCAAGAATGCCATTCTTCAGTTGGAGGTAATGGGCTCATCCGGTTTTGAAAATCAGCCGTGTATTTCTGGAGCATTTATCACTTCTATGTCATTCCCATGTGGTGACATTATGATGATGTCAAGTTTTTCTGTTGATATTGGGAAGAGACCGCAAAGGACAAAATGATAAGAAAAGCCAATATTGACAGAA